GTGCCTGAAATTCATCAGCTCATAGATGACGCCAATCAAGATTTAAAATGCAGCACATTTGGCGCCATGGTCTGTTTGTACGGCGGCCGTTTGCATGGTACTTGAATATGACTTGAGTCTGATTTTGATATCAGGTCTTTTCATCGCTCCACCATGGGTGCTGCTAACCTGAATTGTGAAAAAATAACTCAATATGCTACACTAAATTGTCAGAACATTTTGATACCATCGAGTGTAATAAATGCTGCATCCCGAACAACCTAAATCCTAACTACCTAACAAAATCTTTGTATATATTCGTTCATCTTTTTCCTCTCTCCCAAAAGACCTCGGAATCAGATTAGTCGATCACTGAAATATTTGGGTGATTTGAAAGTCAAAGAAAGCGTTGCTCGCTCACCTAATCTCATCCAATTCGTCCAAAACCGATACCGTTGATGCACCTTTTAGTTTAATCTCACCGACTTTTTCCATGTGGTGACCAAATGCGTAGCCGAAATATGGCGACTAAAAACGGTTCACCAATGTGGAACACTAACAATGGATGTAGGAACCGGCCGGAACTGACACGTTTATCAAACAGTTTACTTTAGACATACACTTGGTTTCAAAATGACTATGGTTGATGCATAATGGATGCTTGAGACTATGGATAGAATTATGTACAAACATCGAACCGCGCTAGAAGAACCATACTAGGCATAAAAATGCAATCCATCAGAATGAACACCTCGGGGCCGTATGTAGAACTTCAGTGTGTGCGAAAATTCCGGGTCTGATTACCTGAGCGAAGATTAATCGGTTTGTCAAACTACGTTCTCTTTGCAATCAGTTTCATCCAAGTCACTTGCAGAAAACAGACCAATAAAAGGTTTGCCTGAACAGATATTTTTGTTCATGTTAATCAGTCACGTTATTTTTGAAGCATCGTATTTTGTCTATGGGCGATCCCAATGCTTCGCGAAGACGATAAATGTTAAAACTCGACCCATATCTGTGCAATGTTGTTTGCAATTAGAAATTCCCAAAGTTAAAGCGGTTCTTTGTGAAAAGCATTGAAAGCAGAAACCTCTAGATCTTTATATCGTTCATCCTAAGACTGCTCACACAAATGCTTATGATAATAATCTGTATGAGACAGGAATTGTGATTGCGCCCGAAGTAGCTTCTTCAAACTTCACATTGCTGCAGGACAATCGAAGTACCCAGTGAACTTTAATCCTGTGGGGACCTTCGTGCCCTTTTTCACACCAGTCAGTTAAAATCTCAGTTCCACCCTATGTCCGCTTCATGGAATACGTCGGTTTAACTCTCTGGGAAATTCCTTCACTGTAAAATGCAGTAATGAAAGCAAGATGGAACCGGTGTGGTTTGACTATCAGGAAAAACCGACAAACCCGACGTCCTACACTTCATACTAGAGGTTGTAAAAAAACTGATCGTGCGACATACGAGACGAGGCGGAGAGTTAATGCATCAGACAAAGAAACCTGGTTTGATTTGTAAATGACTAGTTTGATCGCATACCGGGATATTCAATTAAATCGCACACTTGAAGCACCGCTCTGAGGATTCACACAGTGCAACTGACAACTTGAAACGGGGTCTCCAACTTTCAAAATTTCGGATAGAACCAGTTTACCAAGTACCATTATGGTATTTTCAATCGATGGCTTCTAAAGACTCGGAAAAAGGATAGAGATAATTTTTATGTGAAGTGAAAATTAGTGGTCCATTTGGATCTACGGAAAATTGAAAGCCTTTTTATTTCGTTATCTTTTCATGCGCAGTTCAGTGGCAGCTAACCACGCTCAGAATGAACTATCAATCACAGGTGCTCCAAACTTCTCCGAACAAAAGCATCCCTTGCGCTTCTGTTATGAGACACAAGTAAAATTACCTTAAAAACGCAACACGGTTCCACCTCAAAAGATATATTGCTTCTTCAAATCGCATCCATACACCTCTAGGTTTCCTACGCAGCGAGGTACATCGATCGAATTACGGGGCATGTGACAAAGAAGATACGCAAACAACCCCCCACCCACCCACGCACACCCTCCGCACCCTCTCCCTATGGGTTGAGACAAGAAGAAACTAGGACTGCGAAAAGTGTCATCTGCTAACGCACACTGAAGAAAAGACACTTGGTTAATATTGGTCAAGCTTTCCGCATCATTTATNTCACTCCCAAAACGACTTCGGTTTATCATCGTCTGCATTGGGACGCGATTGCTATCCAAACATTCGATTTCCTTCCCAGTCCTCTATTGTCCGAAATGGCCGGTTCGTGCTTTAGCTTTTTTATGGCCTGAAGAAGCCCAATAGTGCGCCGGCGGGTGGATACAGCAACGACCTAGCTGAGAAGACGCTCATGTAATCATAGCATTTGGTCTGAAGATAGCTATACACGATCAAAGCCGGATTGACCAAGACAAACAATCCCTATATAATTATACCGGTCAGTCGATGGACTATTGAAAAACAGATTGTTTCGCTTATCGGACTATTTTTTCAATGCGGCAGTAGTCATCCTTCACTCTGTTGATTGTCAGTGGACTATCTTTTAAACCCCAAAATAGGTGATTGTGAAATCGAGTGAACTTCACCTGACAGTGTAATAAAAAGTTGTCACGAAAGCATCATTTCTGATCCCACTGGTCCTTTGTGTAGAGGTCACTCTCACAATTCAACACATTATTTCATTCCATACTGTTTCGACCTATGACTGCGAAACACTGCGCCCCCTTTGTCCATCGCATCAAGATCGTTTGGTCTTTTCCACCGCTGACATAAAACAAACGGCACACATGTAACACATTGGCTCGGTAAAACCTAGTGAACGAACGTGTACAGATGGACAGGAGTTACTAAAATTAAAAACAAGAGGTTAACTCCACAGCAAATGAGCTGATTGCATCAATAAATTCTGGACGCACAAAATAGGATGATGTAACCTGATTAATAACGCCACACTAATTGCCAACACTTTTGCACTACTTTACGTAATAAGGGTTTGAAAGAGGAAGCAGGATCAATTATGTGCCCGTTTGTCATGAAGTGTTTTGCAATGGATGAACCCGGAATCCTCGTGACCGTTTGATTATCGACCGTGGCTTCCGACATCGACTTCACCAACCACCAATATAAAGCTTCAACCGGCTAAACAACAAGTTGAACAATAGAATATGCTCGGCCATTCGATGTGATAAATGACGGATGTTTCTACTCATGTATGCATCACCGCAACTGCAGGTGAACTGGTATGCAGTGTGTGAGATAGAACTGGGTTGACAACCATGTATACGTTTGCCCAAATCCATTCCACGAATGGAGACATTAAGTTGAAGTGGAGCAGCTGGGAATGTGCGGGTCAGAACAGACTTTAACATTTGGTGCATATCGTTAATAAGGTGATCGTCTTTGAAAGATAATTGGATGTAGGCCACTGTATAGGCAACAGTTGGAGATGGGCTACCGTTCTGAGACTGTTTACAGTGGATATCAATGAATCTTCCTGGGCAACCGTTTTTAAACAATGTTGTCTTTAGAAACTCTTCTTTTTTCTCGCAGTGTTTCTGATAAACAAAATGTTATCAATTTTACTAGCCCTCATCCATCTGTACACGTCTGTTCCTCTGAATTTACCAACCCAACGTGCTATATGTGCCTGTTTGGTTTAAGTAAGCGATCGAGAAGATCAAACGAAATGTGAACATCCCGCGACATTTGTCTTCTTTCAATCTTGATGCAAGATATGACAGTGTCAAATAAACCCCGATACAACAACCGGGATAAGAAAGGAATCATTTCGTAGCTTGTGCGCGGGATCACAGTTTCCATTACCCCTCGTCGGGGTAACATAGCGATTGTTCATCAACCCGGATGTTGGTGTGCGGTCCTTTCATTTTTGGTAGCAAACACCTTCGCCAGGTGAAGGCAAGAAGTAAGGCTTCGTCAACAGAGGCGATTTGAGACACTTGATCCTGGACGAGTATTTCGCTAGGTGCAAGGGATCTAGCATATACGTGAACCGTACCGCTCCTTATCTCATGCCCGAATATCCACAAATGGAGTACAGATTCCGATTGAATTTTTTAGCAATTCCTAATGGTAATCTCATAAGAAGAATTAGTTCCTTCTATTCAATGAGATGTGTTTCTCAGCTGAACTAAAAATGTTTCTCTGCGCTAAACCAGTAGATGTAGTACACTGTTCCAATCTTCATACCAAATGTAAACAGGGTGTTTTCGTTACGAGTGTGATGCCTCAAATATAAATGTACAGGGTCCTAAAACAGATTTATCACGCTGATTCTTGCACTTGTCTATTTTCAGAAAACAGTCCCGATCCGATTACTGCTTGTAAGCAGTCCAAATCAGAAGTTTATTTCGGAGTGAACGTGAGGAATCTGAATGTATGGAACAATCCAAATGGAATACAATGTGGCCAATCAGCAAGCAGAAAGCTCCGGTGATTTTCAACCTTGCCAGACAAAAAGAACCCGAGCACATTTAAGCACAAATCCAATTGACAGTTTACACAAAGAGTTTGATTGCTTTCGGGGCGATTCAGTTTGTTATTCTCTAAAAATGACCGAGATATCAACCGGATTGCTATGTGAATGAGCCACAAAGCGACTAATTGTTCTCAAAAAATATGTAAACAAACCGAATCTGGCGATCAAACATGTTCACGTTAAATCCTTCATATAGCTGATAACTGAAAATAAATTAAATGCACGCATCCTGGATTTTAGAGCACCTAGTAACCCAAAACCGAATTTGGAGAAATCGTATTATTTAAGTTCGTGGTGCACGTTGATGCGGTTGTGGTGCAAGTCTGCTTTCTCAATAGGACCCACACATTTAATGCAAAACGAACTGTGCACGATTATCAAATAATTCTATAAGAATAAACTGGGTCAGCAAACCGCATCTATCATACAAATGGGAAGAGGGGTTGGTGGTTTGTTCTCTCAGTCAGTTGTTTGTCAATCGTCAACTTTTCTCCCCCTCCCCACGTTTGTTCTCCTTGTCACCGATTTTTATATCTGCGTCACCAACGGAGTCCGAGATCACGGGAAACGGTTGGTCCAGTACAGATTTGGTCTATGGACAGAAGAGGTGAGAGAAAAACCGAAGCTGAACTACAGATACCAATACATGACAAAAATACTAGAATAAGCCAATACGCATCAATGAACGATACCCAACAACAGTAGTGGGGACGAAACCATCAGGATCACATTGCACTGTCAACAGCGTGCTGTCAGAGTAGCAAAGTGTATTTGCACTAGCGGTCACCATGCCGAGTCATGCATTCACACAAATTCCAGTAGTGACTGATGGTGTCCAGCTGCAGTGATCAAGTATACGCAAGGTAACTAAGCACAGTAGGTCGGTTTGACCTTTCGTTTGATTTGTTTTCGAAGAAAATCCATTCGGTTTCGTGAGGCATGTTTATCATCCGGAATGAGTCATTCACATAATCACGAGATCGTTCATATGTATCAGATGGGAAAATAAAAGCCTCGAAAGAATTCAGTTTTATGCTCAATGGTTTGTTGAAACGAAAGATCTTAGACGGTGCAGCACATGGTATCAGATGATTCCAGCGATGAAGACTGGCTGACCTATAGTCACATAAGTCAGCCAGAAAGGTGGCAGAGTGGAACGAAGTGGATTCACCGTGCCGACGAGATTGTGGATAAAAATTGGTTGCTTGACCGACCAATTGCGCTTTGTCTGGAATCTACACGCACGAGCATTGGCAGGCAAGATTAATGACTGGAGAAGATCACAAGGGTGGACCGGGACAATAGTTTTCCTACGTGATCGAGAATGGATATGTGTGTATCTAACGCGACGGTTTGATATCAACACAATTCCAGATTCTCGTATTCACCGCTTTTCAGCGAATACAAATAAATACCTAAAGATGAGTCACTGAATGTGCAAATGTTAAAAGATCTATTCCACCGCAATTCAAACAGATTAGTGAGTGATGTTAGCTGCTGCGCAACATGGCAGAAAGCTTGAATTTTGCTTGTGATGTCGGATATGAGCATTGCGGTTCTCCTAACCGTTCAGTGGGTTATCGTGACTATACGGTGCACGACTGTCGCTGTGTAAGTGACAATAAAGATTCTGGGGAAGTTACATGAGCACGGGCTGCAAAAAAACACTGTTCCCTTTCAATCGTAGAGATGGTAGCCCTTACAGAGAGAAATAGGCCGGCAAATAAGACCACTCAGAAAATTCTTAGTAATCTATTACAAGAGCCTCAAAAATAGATAGCTGACCAAAACGATTACCTGAGTCAAGCAGTGTGGGTCAAAATCNCAACCTGCCCCCCCCCCCTCGACCCTCGGGATCGTATCACCGCAGTCTAACTTTACCACCCTTGGCTGCTATCACTTCGTGTACACAATAAAGAAAAGTATACTATTATTGCTGTTGTTATTCGTTCGATAGGGTGCGGAGTCAAAAATGTCATCTGATCACATAAGTTTTGAATCATAGAAGTCAAACGAAGCCTAATTAGAATGAAACAAGTAACATAATATGAGCAGAATTGATATTGGCCATCAATTTCGCGTGCTCTCAACTATTATTTTGCACTTCACAGTTTCTGTAAGTCACCGTATTGCCGAGACTGACAACATGCGACCAACCCACAATTTGTATGGTCTTGTGACATGACGATCAGGCACACACACATATATATATATATATATATATATATATATATATATATATATATATANACAGGACGAAAATGTCTGCTTGGTCGTACCGCATACGAAAATAATAAAAGTGGAGAAGTAAAACAGAATTAAGAAAAACAAGAAGCAAGGCGAATAAGTAGCGAGCGGAAGACAATGCGTCGCATGTTCCACCAGATGCATAGTCATAATCATCATCATCATCACAGCCCAGATTATACGTCACGTTTTGAGTGCAGCCAGGCTTGAAATGCAAATCAGAAGTGAATAGATGTACAGATGAAGGGAAAAACAGACAGATGGATCGTGCCGAGTGAATAACGAGGCACACGAAAGTAAATGATAACGAGCGGATTTTTGACCATGCTTCAAGTTGATCCTGATAGTAATGCGAGTGTAGCTTTTACAGAAAATGAAACTATGCTATTCTATTGGAAGAAAGATGGCTGGGAATTCGGAAGATATGGCCAGATCAGCTAGTGTGATCCTGTAAATTGGTGATCGATTCACCCGGCAAAACGCGACCAGTAAACCAGTGTCAAGGCTGTGCCAATACAGTGAAGGTAAACCCGACCATCAAAATCAGCCCGATCCAGCAGAGAGTCAAATGCGCCAACATGGACTTTGTCGATTAGCCAACATGCTTCCCGGTTAGAAAAGCGAAACGCTTTGGTTTATTGTTGTTGGCCCAGCTCATTCGATGCAGCTGTGAACTTCACTAGCAATTACAAGAGAATCACAAACCTTACCATCGGCGAAAACAGCGTATCGGAAAGCTTTTTGTTCTCCTTCAGGATTGGTTAGCAGTTCGTGTCTTATGCACTACCGTCAGGACTGGAACTGTGTACGGTCAAGCTTTTAGCTGAAACTTTCATTCTTGAACTACATAGTTCATGATCTGTAGCTTAAACGCACGGTTAGATATGCTGGTTTAGCTTGAGCGAGATCACATACACGAGATGTTGCGCATGTTTCTTATTGTTTCAAGTATGAGTTTAATTAACGACGAGTGTGACGCATTTTATTTCCTTTGTCTCTCGAAAAATGAATTTTACCGAGATTCGTGAAAACCATGGATATGAGATAATCGCAGCCGACCGCGTGAGAACATACTTGAGGAAATAATCCCAATGAGCTAGTTTCACACAGATACGTGAAAACGAGACGGAGAGAACAAAAAATAAACCTGAAAAATACGGCTCATACCCGAAAGAAATATAAAAAAACACATCCAGTGATGGGAAACCTATAAAGCAAGCCCAAACCTATCCGATAGCTACAAACGACAGGCACCTCCACATAGCGTATCGCTAAACGGACCAGGGGATAGCGATGTTAGAGAATATCTCCCATTGCGCACTAAAGCACCGAAAGTGATGTTGAGTAGAAAACTGCATAAATGTGGCAACGGTGTTCAGTTTCTGCACACAACCTTGGAGGTTCGAGCTTCAGAAACCCATAGACTCCGGGGATGTAAATAGCCGATACTATCCAAAGCTAACTTCGCCAAGACAAAATAGCAGCACTGTTGGAGACGATTCCAAACGGTTAGCGATCTTCAGAAGACTCAACCACGTGACCGTGAGCAATTCAGACAGCTAAGCTTAAAGTTGAGTGATGGTGACATAGGTTATCATCCCCATATCTCACAGTTTGTGCGTTGGAATCTCGTAGTCGAGGACCTACTTTCCCACTTTTTGATTGATCGAATTCCCCTGGTCGCAGCCCCTTTGCCGAAAATTATTCGTACACTCGTTCATTGTACAATAAAAGCAAGAAAGTAAAAAAGATTAGTACCATCATTAGTGGTTGTGTGATAGGCTCCAGCGAATCACGGTCATCATGCAAACGACGGCCAAACTCACCAGATCGTAAGGCCAGTGTAAAGTCCAGTCTGATTGAGATGTGTGTAACCTGCTGAGTTGACTGTGAAGGATGGCGGATGGAGGTTGCATCTGACAGGCCAATTGCAAGTTGGACCACAATTCACATGAGAGAACTGGAGCCAACGGGGTCAGCATAACGATGAGATCAGAAAATGTACGAAAATAAATGAAACTTCGGGGTCCTGGACCGCCAGCTGAAACGGCAGCTTTCTGTAATTGAGAAAGAAGAGGAGTGGGGATTTGGATAAAACTACTGTCTAGTAGAAACACAATTTAAATCAATAAACTGATCAGGGAAAGAAAATTCAGTTCATAAGCGGAGAATATGTCAAAAAGTACTTTAGTGAAGAGGATACAAGAGCGTGCACCCAAATCGATTACTTCTAGAGAAACAACACGCCATCCAAACCGGTTGTTCATTCTGGACTAGGTGTATAGATAGGATGGTCACAATAATGATGGCTAATTGAAACATCCGCTTCCGAAATCGAAACTGGGAACCCTGAATTCTTATTCGGAAAACGAGCAACGGGTGTTCAGTTACCAACATAATGAGAAATAGACAGCAGGAATGATGCATTCGGTTAATCACTAAACTCAAATTGAAGCATTACATAGAGCAGTTTGCATAAAAAGTGTTCCATACTACATTTGACAAGGTAAATAGGAAACGAACGCAGTGTCAATGGATCAAATCAGCCTTACACTCCAGCTTCCTGGAACAGAGTGTAGTCAGGCACACTGTAGTTTAGCAATACTGGAACAGTCATACGAAAGAAATCAATGCGAACGCGCAGAACATGTTCTATTCATTGCCATTTATGACAACGGTAGCCCCAATCGTGTGAGTAGTCATGATGACGGTGTAGGTGAGCAGCGCGGTCAACACTGAGTTCAAACCAACGGAGCAAAAGCACACAAACCAGGTTCGTGGAAGTTGATAATGAATTCAATTAATGTTGCTTTGGGTAAACTACATTCACTCTATCGAACGGGTGGAGCAGACTGGCTTGATTGAGTAACCGGAGTGAAAATACCGCAGAATGCATAAGTTATTACACCGTTAGAGGTGATGATAATCATCCGTTGTGGGCGCGATCACTGAGTGTCTCCACAGTNNNNCCGCAACACGAGAGGAGTCAGTATTCCCGGCGGAACATCGCCAGCAGTTGGTACCGTCAGTATGTACTCATGTGAACTTTGTACATAGGACAACGCACTAAACATTGAGTATTGAGGCGCGGATACACCACAAAGCCTGACCAAGCAACACCTGATATTCAGATCTCTGCATTACACAATGTCAGTGTAGTCGCTTTATCGGATTTGTTTCGCAGATGAGAGCTGTCATGAGAGGGTATCTAAACAATCAATCTAGTTTCAACTGAGATGAGTTACGAGGTGGGGGGTGGGCGGCAGGGAGAAATCTTGCCACCCAAGCAATCTCAACTACAGGTGCTACACGCACACGA